AAGGCCGAGGAGGGAAGAGGACGAGGCGGGAGGGGTGAGGAGGGGGGGGGGGCTTCCTGGGACACTCTGATGGAAGGGGGCGCCAGCGGAGCGCAGAGAGGAGGCCGGAGGACGGGGCGGCCAGACACCCGCCCGCGCGCCCGAGGGGGTCCCGCCTGCGGCCGCTGGCAGTGCTGCGCCGGTCACTCGCCACCGCCTGGACGTCCATTCCTTAACGGACGAAGAACGGTATAAAATAAACTTTTTCGCCGTCGGGGGCGCCTGTCCCTGGGCGGCTGGAAAGTTTATACCCATACGGTGCCACCGTAAGGGTATAAACTTTCCAGCCGCCCAGGGACAGGCGCCCCCGACAGCGAAAAAGAATATTTTATACCGTTCTTCGCCCGTTAAATTCCATGTGCATTGTTCGACTTCGAGCGTGCTTGTTTTGCCGGGTGATCCAGGCTGCTCCTCGATGATCATCGCCGAGAACAGGATCGACCACGAACCAGGAAAGGAGTATCGAAATGTGAGGCACGGTAGCGTTTCAACGACACCTGATTGGGCGACGGGCAAATCCAATGCAGAGTGTATCGATCTTAATGTACCGTGCAGAGGGCTACGCTGTGCTGCGCCGTGCTGAACTGCGATGTGCCATGCCGCGATTGTGTTCTACAGCATTGTGGATCGAGTCATTCCATGCATACGAGTCCTAACCGAACTGATCTGGATCTTAAGCTCGGGCTGCCTGAGCACATAGTAGCTGCCACAGAGCTAATTGACAGGGGGATATGCCAGGAGGACCCGCCGCGGAACGTCCCAAGGGACGCGCCAGGCGACGTGCCAAGGGACGTGCCATGGGGACGCACCGCGGGACGTGCCAAGGGGACGCGCTACGGAACGTGCCAATGGACGTGCCACGGGACGTGCCAGGGGACGCGCCGCGCGACGTGCCAGGGGGACTCGCCACGGGACGCGCCACGGAACGTGCCAGGGAACGTGCCAGCTTGCAATGCTGAGTGTATCGATCTTGATGTACCGTGCCGAGGGCTGTGCTGTGCCTGGGCGACCTTGACACGTGAAAACAAGCGTTTCGCTCAGGATATTCTCAACACATCCTCATGCTAGACATCCGCCTGGGCAACCTGGACACGTGCAAACAAGCGTCTCGATCGAGACTTCCTCAACACATCCTCATGCTAGACATCCGCCTGGGCGACCTGGACGCGTGAAAACAAGCGTCTCGCTTGAGACAACCTCAACAAATCCTCATGCTAGACATCTGCCTGAGCAACCTGGACGCGTTAAACCAAGCGTCTCGCTCGAGACATCCTCAAGACCTGGGCACGTGAAAACAAGCATTTTGACTTGAGAGATCCTCTGACTTCTGGTCCCCAGGAGAGGACAATCGAGATCACAAAACAAGCGCTTCACTCGAGACATCCTCAACAATCTCTGCAACGCAAGCGTTTTGCTCGGGACATCCTCTAATTGTAATTCGCCAGCCCCACTCCACGGTCGAATAACGAGGTCGAGTCTCGACCTCGTTATTTACCCTAGATTAAATTCGCCGTCCCTACAGCCGTCGATTCCGAGGGTAATCTCTAAAAGAGGACCCTGGGCAAGAGCCCTTTCCTGGAACATGATCCACCCACGAACCCCGAAAGGAATATAGAAATGTAAGGCATCGCAACGTTTTCAAGGACACCTGACTGGACGACAGGCAAATGCAACACAGAGTGTATCGATCTTGATGTACCGTGCCGAGGGCTAGGCTGTGCTGCGCCGTGCTGAATTGCGATGTGCCATGCCGCGATCGTGCTCTATAGCATTGTGAATCGAGTCCTCCTTTGCATCCGAGTCCTGACCGAACTGATCTGGATCTTAAGCTCGGGCTGCCTGAGCACATAGTAGCTGCCCCAGAGCTAATTGACAGGGGGATATGCCAGGAGGACCCGCCGCGGAACGTCCCAAGGGACGCGCCAGGCGACGTGCCAAGGGACGTGCCATGGGGACGCACCGCGGGACGTGCCAAGGGGACGCGCTACGGAACGTGCCAATGGACGTGCCACGGGACGTGCCAGGGGACGCGCCGCGCGACGTGCCAGGGGGACTCGCCACGGGACGCGCCACGGAACGTGCCAGGGAACGTGCCAGGTTGCAATGCTGAGTGTATCGATCTTGATGTACCGTGCCGAGGGCTGCGCTCCCGCATGAATTACTCTGCGTCCGCGCTCCTAGGACCACGTTCCTTAGTAAGTTATGCTGAGTTCTCCCATAACCACCGGGGTATCCTGGGGCGCCCAGGCCGCTCGAGTTCTGCAAAACAAGCGTTTCGCTCGAGACATCCTCAGGGCACGTGAAAACAAGCATTTCACTTGAGAGACCCTCTGAATTCTGGTTCCCAGGAGAGGACAATCTATAACACAAACAAGCGTTTCGCTCGAGACGTCCAACCACTTCTGCAAAACAAGCGTTTCGCTCGGGACATACTCAAATTGTATTTCGCCGGCCCACCTCGACCTCGTTATTTATCGCAAAAGAGATTCGCCGGCCCACCTCAAGCCGATTCCGGGGGGAAACCCCTAAAAGAGAACCCTGGGCCCACGCCCTTTCCGGGAAAAAATGCACACATCTGAGCCATGCCAAGGGAAGGGGCTACCATCAGAAACCTGCCCCCACTGGCCATCGACTCTCCCGCATCGAGGAGAGAGGCGGGGGTGTGGGGCTGGGACTTCGCCGCACGTTCGACGAAGCCCGAACCCTGCCCCCGCCGCCCATCGAGTTGCCTGCATCGTTGATGGACGAGGGCGCGGCGAGGGTGCTGGCCCCCTGGTGGTTTTCGGCTCATAGCTAGGGCCTCCCGCGGCCGTTCGCGACGGTCTGGGCACCCACAGAACGCCCTCGGCGAGGCGCAGCCGCTGGCAGGCATCCCGAGGCTGCGGAGCCGCCGAGAGCCAACAAACACGCCGAAAACCTGCCCTCCCACCCCCACCCCCTCCCTGCCCTCCCACCCCCGCCAGAGACTCCCCCAGCTTTCTCCTTCTGCCCTCCTCCTTCCCTCGTCCTCCTCCTCCTTCCCTCGTCCTCCTCCTCCTCCTCCTCCTCCTCCTCCTCCTCCTCCTCCTCCTCCTCCTCCTCCTCCTCCTTTCCCGCAGCGAGGCCGCCCTCGTGCGGTGGGCGCCCACGCAGCGCGCTCCGTCGAAGCCGCATGCGAGCTCAAGCGAACGATCACGCACCCTGTTGGAGGCCTGGACATGGGATCGGGAGCATCTTCCCTCGGTGAAGGCACACCGCCGATCTTGGTGCTGGAGTCAACCTCTAGGCCTCCTACCCTGTCCCGCCCCCGTGATTTGGCGGCGAGCCCCGGGGGGCAAACTCGAAAGCGAGCCCAGCCTGAGACCCTGGCGTCTTGCTTCTTTCGAGCCACAAGACCCTCGCAGATCGCTGCGGCTCGAGCGGCTCGAAGACTGCCGCAGAGAAAGGTGGGGTCCACGGCTCCGGCCGTGATCTTTACGATGTTCCAGTGCTCGGGGGAGGGGGCGGGCCTTCTCCGAGGGCTCGGAAGGCCGCGAGCCTCTCGAGAAGTGTTCTATAGGCCTCCTCCGAAGACGCAGGCGGCTTCTCAGAGGGCGGAGGGGCTTCCGAGCAGCCCTGCCGCGCCTCCTGAGAAGGCCTGGCGCCACTCGCTGCCCCCCCCGGGGCGCGCCGCCGAGTGCTGCGACGGCAGCGGCGTCACAGCGCACGGTGTTTTACGGTCAACCCGCGTAGTAAGGATGCGCGATAAGGACGCAAGGGCCTTGGAAGGCCGCGTCGAAGCTTTTCGAGCGGGGCGCGGCCAACGAGAGTGGCCAAGGATGGACCTTGGAGGCAAGGATGCACGGGTACCCTTGGGAGGGTTGCCCATCCTTACTATGCGGGTGGACTGTACAACGGTCTCTTCGGCTCGCCTCCCGAGGGCTGCTCAGATGGGCGCACAGACCGCCGTGGCTGCGCGCGGGCCTGGGGCGCGGTGAAAGCCCCGAAGCAAGTGCCTACCAGCACATCGTGGAACAACGAGTCAGCAAGGACCACCGTCCACACCCAGCCATGCGAGGCGAGGATATATCCATACCCACCGCCCGCAGAACCGACGTCCTGGGGACCCAGCGGGCGGCGGATGTGGATATATTTGGGCCCCCGGGGGCAGAATGTATCCGTATCCACCGCCTGTGGAGGTCCGCGGAATTCGATCCTCCAGGCGGTTGTTGTGTACAAATCCCCGCCTCGAAAACCGAGCTCCGATTAGCACAGTGCTGGTGACTTCCTGCACTTCCCGCTCGGCACCGCGCCCAGTGCGGGCACAACCCGAGGCGACAAGAAGCGCGGCGCCGCGACACGGCGCTGGCTACGCCGCAGGCCGCGAGGAAGACCGCCGCCTCCGCGGGCTAGGAAGCACACCCTGGCGCCGTCGCACCTCTCGTCCTTCATCGGCACAGCCTCGGCGCACCTTCCATGCGACACGTCGCCGCCACAAACCGACCGCTCGGGGATCGCTCACGCGGCGGCTGCGACCTCTACGCCAGCCTTCAGCCCCTCATCGATGAGACGGTCTGACGCCTGCACCTTGTTCGGCTCAACCGAAGCAAGGCCCATGACCTCAGCGAGGGAGTTGTCCAGCGGCTCGGCACGCGTGCGCGCAAGGGGCACCACGAACGGAACATCCACCCTGAGCGCACCAGGCTGCGCATCAGCGGCCCTGGGCACTCCTCCACCGCCACCTGTCGCAGCGTCTCGAAGTGCGCCCACCCCACGATCGCGACCAGTCCTCTGGATCCCCGACGGCTGGACAGCGGCGCCAGGCCTGCAGACCACACGCCCGCAGACCAGGCCGTGGGCGCTGAAGCCCACCGCGGCCGACGACGCCCCGCCAGCGCGCGCAGAAGCAGCCCGTCCGCCTCGGGCCGTGCCTGGCGCCGCTCGCGAGCGCGGCAGCTGCGGCATGCCAGCCCCCGAGGGTGGGCCCACCGCCCGCCCTCCGCCGTGCCAGGCCCTGCTGCGGCGCAGGCGGCATGCACGGGCAGGGTGCTGCCCGGAAGTGCCCCTGGCCCCAGGTGCGCCCAGGATTTCCAGGGAGCCCCCCACGGCACGGCCTCCAGAGCACCCCTCACGAGGCCGAGCTGGGGGCGCCTTGGGCCAGCACGTACCGTGCGTGCCGGTGGTGCACCGCGCGGTGTGCCTGCAAGGGCGGGGGTCGCGGCGACGATCCGCCCCGCCAGCCCCCAGCCGCGCCAGAGCGAAACTGACGCGTCCTTCCCCGCCGCCGTCTGGCCCTTGACCGACATCAGCCCATCTGGATGAACAGAATACGACATGAGCATACGTAAACTTTCGACGGCCGGCGCGGATCTTCCTTGGATCCGCACTGGACCCACCCCCCCTGGAGGCGCCTCCGGCGCCGCACCTGGGGGTGAGGGGGGAAGGCTTCTTCGAAGGAGGCCGGTTCTTAGAGGGCGCCAGCCTCACATCTATGGATGAGGCCCGCTCCTTCAGAGAATCAGGGGCGCCTCGAAGAAGCCCTCCCCCCTCCCCCTACCCAATCTCTGCGCGCAGACCGTCAAGAGCCGATTTCTTCTTCGATCATCTTGGAGCTGCCCCGCCCGCCCCCACGTCGCCTGGCCCTTGGCCCGACGCCAGCTCGCCGTTGCGCCTGCAGGGGCCGCCGCACCTGCAGCACTCCGCGCCCGGCCGCCGCGCCGGTAGAGCCCTCGGGAGCGCCGCTGGCCCGACGGCGGCCCAGCCCGGGCCTATCCACGGCGGGCGGCGGAACCCCCAGCTGCGCGTGACTGGGGCCTCCGCTGGGCGGAAGCGGGCGGCTGGCGGACCACGGACGCCGCAGAGGGCACTGGCGGCGCGGCGAGCGGTGCGGGCGGCTTGGTACAGTGGGCGCTCCGGACGACGGCGGGCGGCGGGCGCTGGCCGGGGAGCCGCTGCTGGCGGGGCAGCGACGCGGCCGCCTGGGCGCCGCTGCCGCTGCTCGACGCTCGATGCTCGACATGGGCTCCGTGCCAGGGAAACCCCGAGAACAAAGTTTTGGCATGCTTGAAAGTCTTCAAACGGTTGTCTTCCAACGAGGCAGTTCCCCCAATGGAAATGAACCGTTGTAGGGGCCTGTGAAGAGGGAGCTTGGAGAGAGGGTTAATTCCAACATCGTTGATCACTCTTGGGTTTACGCTGGCCCTCCTCCACCTCCTCCTCCTCCTGCACTCCTTTTCGGTATAAAGAACGTCTCCCTGTCGCACCCAGAAGTCAATGTGTACTGCGGGTCGGGCGGTTCGCCTGAGACTTCCTCACCATGTATGACCTTGCAACTTAAAACATGATCGACCCACGAACCCGGAAAGGAATATAGAAATGTAAGGCATGACAACGTTTCAAAGACAACTGATTGGGCGACGGGCAATGCTGAATGTATCGATCTTGGTGTACCGTGCCGAGGGCTGTGCTGTGCTGCGCCGTGCTGAATTGAGATGTGCCATGCCGCAATTGTGCTCTATGGCGTTGTGGATCGAGTCCTCCGTTGCATCCGAGTCCTGATCGAGCTGATCTGGATCTTAAGCTCGAGCTGCCTGAGCACAGAGTAGCTGCCCCAGAGCTCATTGACAGGGGGACATGCCAGGAGGACGCGCCGCGGAACGTCCGAAGGAACGCGCCCAGGGACGTGCCAGAGGACGTACCATGGGGACGCAACGCGACACGTGCCAAGGGGACGCGCTACGGAACGTGCCAGTGGACGTGCCACGGGACGTGCCAGGGGACGCGCAGCGCGACGTGCCAGGGGGACTCGCCACGGGACATCCTCATGCTAGACATCCGCCTGGGCAACCTGGACACGTGCAAACAAGCGTCTGGATCGAGACTTCCTCAACACATCCTCATGCTAGACATCCACCTGGGCGACCTGGACGCGTGAAACAAAGCGTTTTGCTCGAGACATCCTCAACAAATCCTCATGATAGGCATATGCCTGGGCAACCTGGACGCGTGAAACCAAGCGTCTTGCTCGAGACATCCTCAAGATCTGGGCACGTGAAAACAAGCATTTCACCTGAGACATCCTCTGAATCTTGTCCCCAAGAAAGGAACCATATATAACACAAAACAAGCGTTTCGCTCGAGATATCCTCAACAAACTCTGAACAACTAGCGTTTCGCTCGGGACACCCTCAGAAATAATTTCGCCAGCCCCCTTCGACCTCGTCATGTATCGCAAAAGAGATGCGCCGGCCCTCTTCGAACATGTCACCGGGGACAAATTAACCAACTAAAACAGCACCATGGGCCCATGCCCTTTCCAGGAACCTGCAAGAGCTTCACGGATTGAGAGCGAGTCGTTTTCAAAAGGTGGCTCTCGCCTTAGCGCCGCGTACATTCGTTCCAAAAATTGGAAGAGTTTCGCGAATTGAGGGCGCCTCCTTTTCAAATTGTAGCTCTCGCCTTAGCGCCGCGCACATTCGTTCATAAGATTTGCAAGAGCTTCAC